ATGTGAAGTATATGAAATAATTCATTTTTGAACTGCGGTTGTAGATGAGAGTTCAAAAAATGAATTATTTCATATACTTCACATCAAAAGTGAGGAGTGCCCTCTATACTTGAGTTATTTAACTGGAGCGAGGGTTACACACCGAAGTATCGAGTCAACCATCTCGTTGCGTGGCCGTTGCGCCTCATCACGGGTTCGAATCCCGTTGAAGCCCTGATTTTTTTTTCAGGCTTCTTCTTTCCAATTGCTTAAATTAGAAAATTTACTGCGATGATCATTCTTCACTCTCATATTTTTCTGTCATTTCTCGGTTCCCCCTTAAAACAGTGCATACTTTTCAAAATGTTCTTGCAGTTCTCCCTCCCCCCACCCTATACAAAGTTGAAACTCAGAAAAAATTGTGGATACACGCGTGCAACACTGTTTGTGGGGTGAGGGGAGGGGTTGGACCTGTGTGAATTAGAAAACGCCCCAGAAACGTGAAAGTGTGCCAAGACTTTTGTCCATGACTGTAGGTTCAGAATTTAAAACATATTGCGGACGCTGTTATAAGTTCTTGGGGAGACCATGGCCTGCAATGAAAGAATACCATTTCCTTAAACCGATTTTCCGCCATTTCCATGTAATTAAGAGATTGAAATTAAAAAAAATTAGGGGAAAAAAAGAAGAAGAAGAGAAAAAGATCTCATACAGCTTTACGCCCACGTGCTTGTTAATCCTATACTGTTATAATTGAGCAGATGTTTATGGCTTTGGATTCATCGAACAGCTTTCTACTGTACGTGCAGACAAGAAATCGGGGAAATACCCGGCTGAAAGTACAGATCGTTCATAGTCAACGATTAATGAACATGTAACGCTGATTAACGTGGCTCATTTCTGGCCATTAAGTTTTTCTACGAAATATCACTGCTATTGAACATATGTCACAGTTTTTTTAAAGCCTAATTTTATAAGCCGTCCTTTTTTGTACTTTTTATTGGATTATTTCAGTTGTAAATTATCGAGGTCTGTCAACCTTGTCATTAGCGACTTTAAGATCCAACGACGCGACGGCAATGAGAATGTCGGTTAAAAAGTGAATTTGCGTTCTTTCAGTCTTTATCGCAATTATTCCTACCCACTTACTTTGTCAAATGTTGGCGAACCCTCCTGGAGTTGAATTCCTAGGGACCATATCCAAGTAGAGAAAGAGAAATTGAATTTCGTCGTCGCTTGTTACGTCCCCCATAAAACGCGAAATTAAGCATTTTCACGTTGTGGTCGTGCAAGAACGGGCAAAGAAATGTACAAAAAAGCGTGGTGCACACGCAAAGTTGTTGTTTTGCTTATAAAACCTTTTGTTTATTTGATGTTCTCGTTGCCGTCCGCGTCGTTGGATCTTAAAGTCCCTAGGGCAGTTTCGCTGTCAGCTTTCGTAATCTGAATTAGTGATTGAATTGACGGAGGTAGTCCGAGTATATAACATAAAAAAGCGTTTCTAGTAGTATAACCATGATAACGTTCCTTGATGAATTGTCGTTTCATGAACATACTACAGTTCTAGATGTATTGTCTTTTAAAAGCTTTAAATTTGACTTTTGTCGCGCTATAGTTTGTAGTTTTTATAGCATCTCGGCATTGTACATTTTTAATGGTTGAAAGCTGACAGCCACAAAAAAGAAAGAGTATAGGTCTCCCTTGTAACTTTTTTTAGGGCAATTTCGTTATCACCTTTTGTAAGTTGAGTACATGGTTTGAATTCGTGAGTACTTGGAGTAATCTGCTATGTTGGACATTATCGTTAATGTTACTAGATTACTAGATTGGACGGACGCGACCGGTCATGTCGGCGGGCGCTCCGCACATGCCGGTTTAAAACTCAAAACCTACCAATGTCTTATATCGTAAACTAAAATGAGTCAAGTTAAAAATCTACAGAAGGAAAACCTTAAACTAAAGGGAGAGATTTCAGCCGTGAATAGTGAAAAGAAAGAAAGACTAATACCTTGTGAGCCTATTATAAATTTGTCCAGAAAAACCAAAATCCATCGCTGAACTAGCGAGCGAAGTAATCTCTGACCGCCGAGCTAACGATCATGCAACTTACAAATAACGGCTTGGTCACCTGACCCCAAAAGGGCCCGAAAATTACACTACCGCGCGGTCCTGGGCTGGCTAGCAGCCACACACGGTAAGTCTTCGGCTATTTGAATTTGTGTTTACCCAATTTTAAGGTAACGGACTCATTTCATGAGGTGTTTTGCCATATTTTGTGGTTAGGCAAGTTCCTTTTTTTGTGTAAATGCCTTCTCATCACGACTGGATCTTATAATTACAGAGGACACGAGTGTACAAGCTCATTTAGCCAGCTAAGACCCGCTTTTGTCCTCGCCGAAGCGTAGTGGAGAAGTTCCACTGTCAACAAGTGACAGTGTAGCAAGAGAAGAGGTTTTAACATTATATGAGCTTTAACATGCCTGTAACCCTTTTCATCTGACCGCATATTATTGGAAAAAAATTCCCCACTTCCATTTATAGTACAGTACCTTTGATCACAATTTGATATATTTATTTTGTTTGCAGTCATAGAAACCACGACTCCCGCATCTGCACCAAAAAATTCCACTGGCATTAACAAAGTTATTTACATTTCACTTGGTGTCACGTCCGCTATTTTGCTGTTGTCGGTCGCTATTTTCGTCTGGTGCTACAGAAGAAATAAGCTAAAGACTATTGAAAGGTTTGTGGAGCTCTGCTAATGCGTGGCTGGCGGTTTTTCTGTTTGCTTCTTTTTTCGTTTCAGTGGTTTGTAAAGTAAGAGATTTAGCCGGGCGAAAGCTAAACCGAGGACGGAAAAGAAATGATAGGGAAGGGGGCGAGGGGAGAAGTAAGTGAGAAAAACCTCCTATACTAAACCCCTTGAGATTTTTAAAACGCCCCTTCCAGTTTTTATGGAAGGATAATGTGACATGTTCTGAGGTCTGACGTCAGCCGACAAAATGTCGCGCCAAAGTTTTTTTTTGTTTACGATCGGTTAATTAACAATTAATGAATGAGGCTGAGTATCTTATAGCCTGCGAAAACATCCGTTTCTCCTCGCTCTTCGCCGCTGGGGACGTTTCGCGCGGAGGAACGTCTGCGACTCAGCGACAGAAATTCCATACTGATGAGGCAAATCAATGTTAACATAATAAATACGATTGTCATGGGGTTCCAAATATAAATTTGTCTATTTTTACCTGTCTTATGCACGATGTCGGTTAAGTGTTGTGCTCATCTACTGACGAGCTCCAACAAAACTCAAATGCCTCTTCTAGAGAAGACTATACTCCACAAATATTGACTGTGTTGTTAGAGATACTTCGCGTTTACATTTGACCTTTGTGGCCTTTTGTCTTTTGTCTGTCATTCGTAAACAATAGCTAAAACAATGTAACTACTCCCTCGACCAATCAGTGCTTCTGACCGGATTCCGGACGGATTTTACGTCATCAGTATGGAATTTCTGTCGCTGAGTCGCAGACGTTCATCCGCGCGAAACGTCCCCAGCGGCGAAGACAACCTCGTTCCCAGGGTTCTCTCCTAACCGCCCTACGGAGCGAGAGAGGGCGGGTAGGAGAGAACCCTGGGAACGAGGTTGCGGCGAAGAGCGAGGAGAAACGGATGTTTTCGCAGGCTAAGTATCTTATGAAGAATTATGGAGATCGAGGAGGGTGTTATCCGTCGAGGCCGTAGGCCAAGGCGGATAACACCCTCCGAGATCTCCATAGTTCTTCATATGTTACGAAAGCCGAATTCAATAATTGTTTTATTATTCATTCAAAATAGTTCCTAGTTTAAAAACATAGCTAAAAACATGCTTACCTACATCGATGTTAAGTTCACCTTCAATACTGTACGTTTAGGTTTGTCCAGCTCCTCAAAATACTCTCCAAATAGCAGATGTCGCCCTCCGAGTTCACTTCTTGCTGTTTTTGCCATGTTTTTAGCTATTATTTCGCCTAGTTTCAGCTGTAGTTCTTACTCTTGAAACGAGTGAAATGTCCGCTATTTTTTTTTTCACAACCAAAACAACTCAACCTCGTCCCCAGGTCTTCTCGGTTAACGGTGCCTTAACCTGTAAAGGGCTGCATTTTTGACGTCATTTCCCCGATAAACACAAAATTCTTCCAAATTTGGTCATCAATAACTGGTTATGGTGAATTATGCGTGTGCTTTTAGCCAATCAGAATTGGGGAAATATTTTGAATGAATAATAATGTTGTATTTTAGCGCTTTCCTGGTAATTATTCTCTCCCTTCGCCCCCTCCCCCATCGTTTTCTGTTTCGACCTCGGTTCAGCCGTGTTCGCGCGGCTGTCACTCTCACTTTGCAAGCCACAAAATAAAAAAAAAACACACCAAAGAACCTGCACCTATGCTGGCTACATAAACACGGAAATAAATCTAACACTAAGGAAAGCTTTTGTTTTGTCTTTTTATCAAAACGTAGCGATTAATCTTCGCTCCCCGTGACGTTATTGGCTAAATTACATCACGTGTCAACAAAACCGACGTAGTGCACCTGCCAAGATGACAGATAACATTAACCAGAAGTCAAAACCACTACTTAATTTGCAATTCTTATGAAAAATAATCAAAGAACGTTTTCATTGACGAAAGATGCATGGAAAAAATTGAAAAATCCTACGAATAGTCTGATGAAGACGAATTTTGTTTTTAGATACGCCTAAAGTGAATTAGAATTGAATATTTTTTTTGTAGTCATTGTTTGTAAAGGATGGTGCCCTTGAATGAATCGTCCTTTTAAAGAAAAAAATCAGTTTATTTTATCCCCACTCCGCTATTGTGATCTAGCTTTTTTTCACGAGGAGAGCATCTCAGCCTCGGACATTATCCTCCGATGCACCAGTAGTCAAGTGCAATAATTTTGTTGGTAAAGTTTACAGATATGCGAGTATATGTTACTCATGATATTGTGCTCAGCGTAATAATCCGGCATTTTTTTTCCCTTTTTCAAGGTCATCTTATTCACAAGACGAGATTACTCCTCCTGACAAGTGGGAAATTCTGCCTGAGCAAATAGAGTTTGAGGAAGAGCTGGGGAGAGGAGAATTCGGTGTTGTTTACAAAGCAAAATTTAGACAGAGAGATGAGATGGAGGTGTTAGACAATGCGGAGACTTCAAAATGGCCTGTATTATCCGCAAAGAAAGAAGCACAGGTGGTGGCTGTCAAAGTTTTACATGGTAAGAAGTACTGACTGTTATCTCCATAGACAAAGGCATAAAGTCTTAACTGCCTTTCAGTTCTCTTCAAATTACTGTAAGAACCCTTTTGGTTTTAAGTTACTCTCTGGGAACTTTAAGATCTCAAAGAAAATTTAGCAGAAAAAAAAAACTCGACCCTTTTCGAAAAAAAAATTACACTGACCACCTAAAGACATTACATTTTTAAAATCGGGATTGTCTCTCGTTAGTGAAGAGAACGGCAAAGTTGGAAGTGTAAGTAATTTGTGGTTTCTTTATTCACTATGTAAGTGCGAAAAAATTAATTAAGGCTGTTAAGTTCCAAAAAAGTAGGTTTTTAAAGCCTATTAGCTCTAAACAAATGCATCTCTTACGAATTTACATTTGCCCAAAACCAAAAAAAAAAAGTAAATTTATCTACAGAGCCTGAACTAAAGCCAATAATGAAGATAAATTTAAAAAATGCAGCCTCTAGTCAATACATGTATGACAACTCTTTCTGAAGGATCGGATGCATTTGATGATTTGTCTCCCCTTTTTGTGATCCATGTTGCCCAGGTTACACCGCAAATCATTTGATAATGAGGAGAAGGAAAAAAAAATTATGAAACTGAGCTACGACATCACCATGCTGAAGGCTAGACCCAGGGGATACTCTCTTATAGAAGCTATACAATTGTGAGCGGGGCCGTAGGACATGGTTGTTGACCCCTTTATTTATGAAATTGGGAAACGATTCCCAAGATTTGGGAAAAACAGAAACAGATAAAACGTGAAACAGGATTAGGTTTGGCTCTGTCCTGTACCAGGTCTGTATTTATTTTATTGTTGTTTTATTATTTATTTATTTTTCTATCTATCTATTTTTTCTTTTCTCATTCGCCTTTTATGAACAGCGGTTTAGGTAGTGAGGGAAACCACATAGTCACGATCAAACCACCACCCGAATCTTCCAGGAGTACCTCCCGGGGCAGCTGGAGGGTGAGGGGTAAACTAAAAATAATAACAAATGTCTGAATATTTCTCGATATTCTATGACACGGTAGAATACATCTCTACATACCCTTGTGCATTAGAGGATTAGTGGGAAGCAGTAAAAATGGACGAATATGTTTTTGAAATGAAATTTTGCACTGAATAATGCTGAAAAATAACGATAATAAAATCAATGTCATTTTATTTAATTATCTTTAGATAATCCATCTGAAGCACAGAAAGCAGAGTTCACGTTTGAGATTGAACAAATGAAGCTGTTAGGATCACATAAGAACGTTGTATCCATGGTTGGATGCTGCAAGCTTCAGGAGAAAATGTTCCTGGTTATAGAATACGTTCCGTGTGGTGACCTGCTGACGTGGCTACGCCGCAGAAGAAAAAAGGTAAGGACGTGACCAATTATACAATTAGTTTGTAACGAAATTATCAAGAAACAGATATACAGAGACAACATTACGAATATATTTTGGTACTATCAGAACATTTTGTACAAATTATTTAAGCAACTGCGGTTACTTCTTCAAAGTTATAAAAGTATTTAATGATAACACTAACAATAATAATTATATTTTATTTACTTGCTTAATGTTTAGATTAAAGAACTTCAGGCTACCGAGAGATCTTATGCTGAAAAAGAGGTTCTGAAAGATCAGGGAGAGACCAGAGATCATGTAGGCTTGTATATAAACTGTAGTTTAACTTTCCATACTAGCTCTGTCCTAAAATATTTATTATCCAGGGCCCGGTTCCTAGAAAGATGGTTAAGTTTAACCATCAAAAGCGAAAGCGAAATTTTAAGCACGGTTTTCTTGCTACGAGAATGTAACTCTTGATTGACTCTTGAATTGAGCTTTTACTCTGAGACACAGTAATGATTTACACAAAATGTTTCGCTAAAAAAGGCATCGGAAGGTAAATACAAAAAGTGGAACAAAATATTAATCCTGGATTAGCGCTAATCGGCCTTTCAGGAACCGGGCCCAGAGTGCTTGTTTGTTTTAAGTCTGGTTGACCTAGCTGTCTATAAATCTACTCATCCGATTGTTGTTGAATGGTTTGTGAAGTATTAGAGCAACTGAACACGTGTATTTCTACAAAGTTTCAGTTCGACAGGGTTCTTCATTTTTTGACAGAACGCGTTTGAGTATTCTAATATATTGCGTGACGCGACAATAATGGCAACAAAAGCTGTCACGTAACCGTAGGTTAAAGAGTGACATATCTTTTTTTTAGATTTTGCTACCTGGACAGTCCTTGATTTTTGAATAAGTATTAAGTTTAATGTTTATGAGCTCTCCAGAGATGAGCACTCGCTATATGGCAATGTTTCTTTTAGTTTCCGGCCGCCATATCTGCGTTCCTCAGAGGGACGCCAACATGGCTTGCGTCTTAAAATTTAGGTAACACATTTCTCCGAATTCCTCGCAAACGAAAAACCGCAAAGACCTGAATCTTAGCAAGACTTTTTGCATATTCCTTAGATTCCTGAATTTATTCATTTCCACACAGGTCAGTAAACTTGCTAAGAAACAGATAAAGCAAGCGGAGAAAATACAGTTGAGTATGGAAATGACCCCATTACCACAGGATGACAGCGAAGACACAGCGTCGACTTCTTATCATCTCGGTGACGAAGTATGAAATAAGTCAGCCAGAGGGCTCAAAGATTTTAGATGACGTTCATTTCTTCTTTATATGGAAAAACTGCTTAATTCAACTTAAACGTGGTTAAGGCTTGTAGCTCATGAAAATAATTCTCGTGTAATCCTTGTAATCCTGACTAGTGCAATTGATAGAGTGGATAATCGATAATAATGGATAACTCTCGATAAAGAGCGATTGTTAAACTGAAAATCGATAAAAATCGATAGAGGAAAAAGTTTTTGCTAATCGATAATTATCGACTTTAATCGATTTTTTATCGAGGTTGTCGATTTTAATCGGCGCTTACTTACTTAGGTTAACATTGGCAAAGAACGTTGTTTCCGAACATACTGTTCAGTTTTTCAGCAAGACCCTTAAATTGCTTCTTCAAAAAGCATATTGGAAAGGATCATTTAAATCGTTCTGTAAATATGCAAAACAAAGTAGATAATCACTTCCGCAACTAAATGGAAAGAGAAGTAGTATGATCATAAAACATGAAAAAAATGTGAGAGAAAATCATGATTTAAAACAGAAAACATCTGCATATTGCTAATATAATTTGCTGTAAAATAATGCATCATTGGATTTTGAACCTGGGAGGCAATCGATAATATCGTTAAAATAGTTAAAAACGATAGCGCTGACAATTGATTTTCTGATATCGGTTTTTATCGATTGCACTAGTCAGGTGTAATATGCAAACTTGTCTCTTTATTTAATGATCCGGGAACCAAGAAGCGCCTCTTTATAAAAGAATTAGTGAACTATAAAGACGTTTCCAAAAAATTAGAGAGAGGTTTGGGGATCAAGTAGGCTTACTACAAAATTAAACTTGGTATTGAAGATTTTACTGATCAGGCCTACTAAAGATCCGGCTGATCCTCACTGGTTTGTCGTTGTGGTTGTGCCTTCACAAGTGTTTTTTATACCACAAAACGTAATCATGAGTTAATCGTCAAATTTGTTTGTTTAGACTAAGTACGTTTTTAATTACCTATATTTTAAAATTCTCCTTTATCTTTTTGTCCTGGCAGCTGTAGATCATCTAGTTGTTGTTAAACTTTAGTCTTTAATTCACCGAAATTCTAAATGACCATTGCATAGGGTAACAACAGAGTGGAAATTTGAGGTATACTTAAACGGATAGAATACAAGATTCCACGACTGATATTATATTAAAGAATGATAATGGTTAAACGGAGTAAATGGCCAGTACCGGACCAATAAATTACGGTTTATGTTTTGTTTTGTTTTTTTTACAAAGGAAAGTAAACCTGCTAAAGATGGGACAAAGCGGGAGCAGCAGACGAACGAGAACATGGAGTTGACTTCGTTATCAGAAAAAAGCATTAACGATGAGGTCCGACAGGACCTGGCGTCGACTCTTCAAGGCCATCTTGTATGAAGGAAATACTTAAATATTTTATTTTATTTTTCTTAAATTTATTTATCGTTATCAAAAGAAAGCAATGATGATGTCCGACGGGATCTGGCGTCGACTTTTTAAGGCCATCTTGTAGAAAAGAAATACTTAACAACGCCTTTTTTTTCTTAAATTTAATTATATTGAACGAGGATAAGGCATGCAGACGATGAGGAAACTTGCTAAAAATTAAGCAACAATTTTCTGCGAAAGAGAAATTCGACATCTCTTTCTTTAAATTATTCTATTTTACCGTGCTGCAAAATAATCTAACGAAAAAAAACTCTAGGAATCACTTGCTGTGCCACTGACTCCATACACAATACCACCCACGATATGTTTGATGTAAAGAGTTTTCAGTTGTATTTTAATGTATCTTTATTACTGGTGGCGATGAAAGGTCCTTAGAGCAATCTTTCTGGGTCACGCCTATACCAGAATACGATCAATCGAAGCACCCACGCGAAAAATTCGATAAATCTTTGCAGGTATGGCAAATGAATCTACATGGATATTTTGTGATCTAAGGGACCGGTCATTATTTATCGCCGAGGAGGGATGGGGGGTTGGACAATTTTGGGGGTTTTTCTTGATTTTTGGAAGAACAAAAGGGGGGATCAGTTGTAACTGAGAACCCAAAAGTGGGGATCACTGAAAACCTTGGAAGGATTCAGAGGAGGACCACTCAAATTTGCTTGGAAAATGAAGGCATGGAGGGGGAGGGGGGGGGGGGATCGCGAAAAACATCAAAAGTTATTGGGGGGGAGATCACTTCAGTGAAGTAACATTCAAAGGGGGAATCGGCTAAATTTCACCTTGTTTAGCCCCAAATCCTCCCCCCCCCCAGGCGATAAATAATGACCAGTCCCTAATTTCAATATTGTTTTCGCGCACTTTTCAAAAACCCGGGAGAATCTTCCACCCAGTGGCACCGTCCCGTTTTTGGTGAGATTCTGGGTACTTAAATTGAGGCTCAACAAGCATGACTGCTTTAAGATGTTTCATGGTGTTGTAGTCAATCTTTGAATCACGTCATTTGGTTATTGCACCCATCCGGAACACCAAGAAACAACCGCTTTTAGTCATGTTCTTCCTGACAAACCCTTTCATCGAAAGGACGGGAGGATTAATCTGTCTTCCCTTCACGCACAGGAAGGACAGGAAAGCAAAATTTCGACTAAGGCAAAGGAAAAGAAGACACAAGTAACCATGGAAATGGCCTCATTGCGCCAGGATGACGTTGCACAGGACATCGCTTCGGCCACTCACGATCTGTCTGATGTAAGAAGGAAGTGTCTTAGGCCACAACAACACAAATCCGGATTCGGTGAAACCGAATACCTCATTTTTGCGCCAACATAGATTCGGAGTGGTGTATCCGGTTTCACGCATTCACACGAATACGCTACTGCGGTTTGCAATTGCAACTGCACTCGGGCCAGCGGTGTGATTTCACTGGCCGTACCTCTTTCCCAGTTCCAGTGCTTTAAGGTAACATTTTATACACTTCTCAAGTGGGAATGTCAAAGAGAAATAACTGGGCTAAGGCCGATTCATTCGTCTGGAGCGAAAGTAAACAGAGGGTTGTTGGCCTCTACTTTAAATTTTTCAAATTCCCATTTAAGCCTGGACCCGGGTTTATGGCGTAGCTGATTTAAAAATATCCGGTTTCAGTCGTCTTCACGAACCCGCCAAACTCGACGGATCCAAAAAAATTCACCCTGGAGAGGGGTTTCAATGCGGTCTCGGTGAGCGGATTTACCGTTTTCGTGTAGATGGAAGGCCGACTCGTATTAAAAAGCGTGCGGTTTCAAAAATATCCGGATTCGTGTAGACGGGGCCTAAGCCTTACACTCTTCCTTTTTTCACGTAACGAAGGGTGTAATGCAACACCCTTTTCTTTACGTGCGTTGGATAACGTTAAACGTGACCTTTAAGTTGAAAGAAAACTCGTTACAAGCGACCGTGACTAAGAAGTGGAACATTGTGGTTTAATTGCCAACGTTAACACTTTTTTGCCCTAAGATTGTTGTACTGAAGTCTTGTTATTGTGCCCGTGAAATTTCATCGTTTTTTCATAGGTACCCCACGCTCACGAGTGAGAATCATTCTTGCGTAACATTTTATGAAGCTTGCATGTGGTTTCTAGCGTATCGCAATTTGGGGTCACAAATAGAAATATCAGCTCAGTAGTCTGTCTAACCTTGATTCCATGATTTCATAATTGAGTTATGGACGAGATTGCGTCACAAATTTAAATATTGCTGGTTTACACATTACGTCATGAAAACTCAAAGGAAAGAATTATCGATCCTCCTGAGTTCTTACTTTCATGAATTATTGGAGCCGCTAAAAACTAATATCCAGAAAAATTTTCACTGCGAAAAGGTTCTTCCTTTTGTGATACAGTACGCTTAAATTTCTAACGCTAAGCTTTTGCGTGAAGCGGCATTTACATGGTAGCCTGCGAGCAAACTCTCCGGGCGCTCTGGCGGCGGGGCGGGAAAAGGAAGGAGAGCTTGCTACTACGTCTCTGGAATTTGAATTCTACTTCCACTTCGCCTGTGGCTTCCCGTCGACTATGCTGTCAGATTTCCGCATATCAGCGCGAAGCGGAAACGAACGCGATTGTAAACAAACATTGAAAAACACGTGCCAAGGGTAATGGCGTCATTACTCATGTCATGTCATCTCCGCCAATCAGCATTTTGCATCGACTTATTCATTTCCCAGAGACGTAGCTGCAAGCTCTCCTTCCTTTTGCCGCCCAACCGCCAGAGCGTCCCGGAGAGCTTGCTCGCAGGCTATTTGCATGGTGGACGAGAGAGCTGCCATGAAGGCTGAAAAAGTGACTCTGTTGGGAGGATTTTGCTATCTGAGTGGTCATTGTATTAATGTCAATGTTAATGAGTTCCTCAAGTGATGAATTCACCCTTAAGTAGCACAACTCCGTGACACATGTTTCTGTCGGTTTCCGGCCACCATGTTATAATTAGTGACCATCCGGATGGGCACCAACATTGCATTTCCATATAAAGGTCTATAAATGTAGGTAAAAAAATTCTCCGAATTTCTCGCGCATGAAAAATTGCACCGACCTGAATCTTGGCAAGGGCCTTTGTATATTTACCTTCTTCATTTCCCAGACTCTAGACTTTATCTATTACACGCTTTTGATTTTTATTTTTAAAAGCGTGACAGTGAAAACCTGCAATAGCGTTACATTTTTTCTAGATGTAAATGTCGTCGCTATTTTCTTTAATCATTTAGCAAAGTTTGGCTGATGAGTATGAAGTTAAGGAGGATCAACATTCTATACACCAAGACCAAGAAGACATTGCAGTGTCTCCGCAAAAAAGCAACAAAGATGCCGTTCTTGAAGTGATTCGTTCGTCTTCCACCGAAGTAGATGTAAGACGAGAACAAAAACACCATAATAATTACTTATTCACTAATAAAGAAGAATTTGCCTCCAGAGCGCCTTATTTTGCTTACGTTTCACGTTAGAAGGACACAACATGATCTTGGTTTTCCTATGCCACTAATGTGTTTCGTCGATGGTGTAGCTTTTCTGCGCTGTCTTGGATTTACGTTTCAGCGTCTTGTTTTCCTTCTCTTAAGCTGTTTTCAGTTGCTTGCTTGTGACTCCAGACGATGGCTGTGGGCATGGATTTTCATCCTAGACTTGAAAACAGTACCCTGGACCCAAAGTAAATTTTATCTAGCTCGTGACTGGTCACTTTGAAGTTACTTTTAATAGATAGTTCTAATATATTCTGTGGCTCTTGTCTGGCTCAAGCAAATTATGTTATTTTTATTTTTTTATCCGTTAGTTACTTATTTACTAACAAGGAAAGTAATTACTTGAAAGCTGTGCTGTTTCAAGCTAAACCAAAAATTTGATAGTTTTTGTTATCAATTTAACTAGGATGAGGAATTCAAAGTGACTGACAAAGAACTTCTAACCAGGCCAACGGCATCACTAGGAAAGACTCAAGCTTCTGCAATGCCACTTTCAATTGAAAACCTAGAGGAGTCAAACGAGGATCCTTGTGACGTACAAGAGAACTTTTCTACCAAACAGCTGTTTTCATTTGCCTGGCAAATAGCTAAAGGAATGGTAATTATCTTGTTTTCTGGATAATGTTGCTGGGATTCTGATACTGAGTATAACTTGGAAAGAAGAATTCAAGAGTCAATATTTTATAACCATGAAATGGATGGGATAAATATATTGGCTGTTTTTCTAGATATGAATTTAAAATGGCTTATATGGAAAAAAAAATTCTTTTCGGTCGACCCAGTTTTAGCTAAATTCGTTTCTTTATGCATCTAAACGTAAATTTTTGGATCAGATCAGTGCCGATATTTACTTTTTATTTGTATTTTTTCCTCTATACTTAACTACTTAGTGTTCGGCGTACCCCCGTTATTATGTTTTGAGATCATTTTAATAGTTTTTTCGTTGCTTATTTGTTATTAGAATCATCTNTTATCAATTTAACTAGGATGAGGAATTCAAAGTGACTGACAAAGAACTTCTAACCAGGCCAACGGCATCACTAGGAAAGACTCAAGCTTCTGCAATGCCACTTTCAATTGAAAACCTAGAGGAGTCAAACGAGGATCCTTGTGACGTACAAGAGAACTTTTCTACCAAACAGCTGTTTTCATTTGCCTGGCAAATAGCTAAAGGAATGGTAATTATCTTGTTTTCTGGATAATGTTGCTGGGATTCTGATACTGAGTATAACTTGGAAAGAAGAATTCAAGAGTCAATATTTTATAACCATGAAATGGATGGGATAAATATATTGGCTGTTTTTCTAGATATGAATTTAAAATGGCTTATATGGAAAAAAAAATTCTTTTCGGTCGACCCAGTTTTAGCTAAATTCGTTTCTTTATGCATCTAAACGTAAATTTTTGGATCAGATCAGTGCCGATATTTACTTTTTATTTGTATTTTTTCCTCTATACTTAACTACTTAGTGTTCGGCGTACCCCCGTTATTATGTTTTGAGATCATTTTAATAGTTTTTTCGTTGCTTATTTGTTATTAGAATCATCTCGCCGAAAACAATCTTGTTCACAGAGACCTTGCTACCCGTAATGTTCTTGTTGGCCATGACAACCAGATCAAAGTGTCAGACTTTGGGTTGATGAGACAAATCTATGAAGACGTGAGCAGCTCAGCGAAGTCCAGAAAACTTCCTGTGAAGTGGATGGCCCCAGAATCACTTTATCAAGGGGTTTACACGACCAAAAGTGATGTGTGAGTGATGATTTTTCCCGCTCCCTTGACAAGGGAACTATTGAAACTTTTCTACTGAATCAGTTCTCAAAACTGTAGTTGCCGTCAAAAATTACAGAAGCATATAACTCTGAAGCGCCTAAATCCCCGTATTGTTTTATAACCATGCCAGGGTTTTTAGCCGTTCAATTAGAAGCACGGAAAATTGTTTGCCCAAATATGGAATCCTAGTATTGAAGGCATCTCTATCTAAATATATAGCTGCTAAAAACGGACTCTTCCAGTCCTTAAAAGCTTTCCAATTTCATCCAAAACTCAAGAGTACACACATTTTTGGGCTCCTCCGTGGGCAGTAAACAATCTAAATGCCGTGAATCTGTACATAATTATAACCTCTTTGGTTTTTCTTATAGTTGGTCTTTTGGTGTTGTTCTCTGGGAAATGGCTACTTTGGGTGAGTGGACAGTAATTTTGTAGTTTATAGTTGTTATGTTAAATTTGAGGTGACGACTGACAAATCAAAAAAACATTTTTCATGGTCTATGACTCTTATAGACCGTACAAATGATGTCAAAATGTTGAAAAACTCATGCACGACCCGCAGGATAATGGTTTTACACTGCAAAGTTTTGAGCTCTGCAAGGGAATTAAGGGAACCGTGCCTTAACCCACCTTCCCCGTTTTGCCATGGTTGGATGTGGCTTATAACTGTTACGATTGTTATCAAGGTTACTGCTACCAGGAAGGGCGAAAACAATGTTTTATAATGTTTCATTTGCGGCAAGTTTGAATTTTCTTGTTTGACCTGGGCTCTGTTTTAATTAAGTGCTGTGAGTAGATCTCCTAGATGATAACCGTATGTGACAATACATATTTTAATAATGTCAAATTTAAACATTTGCGAGCATTTGATGACTGAAAACGAGAATCCTTATTGTTAATCACCCTGCCTTCTTTCAATACACATTTTACTGCACTGGCTATATATCAGACCTCCATTCAATCAACCGTTTTTGCAAAATGGCCTTATTGAGTTTATATGAGGAGAAGTGACAATCGACTGAGGCATCTTTAATAGAAATTTATCTAATGGAAAATTGCGTGTATTCAATTGCTGATACGTAATCATTTGTTTTCTTTCTCGCATCGTCAGGAGGCGTACCATACCCCATGCTGACCAACTCAGAGTTGTATCGACTGCTCGATACTGGTTATCGCATGGAAAGGCCTGACATGTGCTCCGATGACGTGTACGTTTCATGATTAGAGTGGTCTTAGATTTAACAAACAGATTCGATTTTTCTGTGCGTCTGCTCAGTTACATTTCACACCGAACGGTGCAGCATACGAATTCGTCAAATATTTTAACGCCTTCTTTGATCATATTAAATACTGGCCAGACGGACGGCAGGCGAAAACTTTTGATGGGATCCTCACTCTTTGAACGAGGAAACCCTCAGTCCATTAGCTTTATGGTCAATAAAGGCATCATTAGTAGTAATTAGGTTAATCTCTTTCCTGGGGCCGGGGGGAGTACTCCCTGTACTGGGGAGGCACCCCCCAAAAGAAGCTAAAAGGGGTACCTCTCTCAGTCTTCTGGTATAGGAATTTTGCTAGTCGAAGTATATGAAAGGGTAGGGAAATCTGTCATTTCGGTCTGTAAAATGACTTAAGAGGACCAGATAAGATTTTTTGGCTGTGAAAAAGTCGAGAAAATTTTCTAGTTTGTTATTTATTCATATTTAAGAGAAAGTGCATTTTTCAGCAATTAAAGTTAAAGTTCCTTTCTGTCAAAAATGATACTCAAAAGAATCAGGGGTAAGACCTCGGGGCAGAGCTTTACATAATAATGGCTGGATGAAGGAATGGGGAATCTCGTGATAACCCAAACTTTCCAAGAGCCCATTTTAATGGGCTTCACGTGGAAGCTTCACCCAAAAGGAATACCTTTTTAGGCCACATGTATGTGGAAAGGTAGGAATTTCACGAGCTAAAATGTTTGCAATGGTAGGAAATTTTGTAACTTCGGTAATTTACATTAAAAGATATTTTAAACAGATGTACCTTTATTTTATGCTTAATGTTAAGGGCTTAATTGCTTAAAAAATGAAGAGTCGTACCATTTTTTAGGTAGGCAGGAGAGGAATGTATATGAAAGGGGTACCATTTCTGTCAAAAATGCTGTATAAAAGGGGTTGGACCTCAGGGTGGAGCCTCCCTGTAAACTCATGAAGCTAAGAAGCCTATATATTCTACTAAAAAATTTTCTTTTATTCCAATAGACTTCTTTCATTTGAATGTTTTGTTTTGCCAATATAGGTCATGTTTGACGGTCAAATTCCCCTGGGACCTCTTTTGAGAAACCAAAACATACAAGCTATAAAGAGGTCTACTGACACTGTCTAATAATTGACTGAAGCTCTTCTAAGCAATAAATGGTTCTTTTTTTTTTCCTCCATTCATAACAGATATGAGCTGATTAGTGAATGTTGGAACGAAGACCCTTACTTTCGTCCCAGTTTCTACCTTTTGATCGAAAAAATGGAGGCGATAATGGAAAGGGATGCACCATATTTGGATGTAAACAAACACAATGAAGCTCGTCCTTATTACAACGTACCTCCTGAAGCTAGTGCTGATTAGTATGGAGAAGAAGGAGCATCCTCAATAATCGGACAGTTTAAGACGGAACAAGTATAAACAGCTAAATGCATGTAATGAACTTAGAAACTAAGCCAAGTAAATACTGAAAAAATTAAAACTAACAAAAAAGGAGCTTTATATATAACAAAAAATGTGTAACAGTAAGGCCATCCAGATCTAAACAGGACCCCATCATCCAGGAATGTAAACCTCTCTTCCAGTATGTTTAGATTTTTACTAGGCTATATATTTATAGATTAATCTTTCACGAAAATAAAAAGCGGGACTGAGTAGGATCTCCAGGAATCAGCGGATGCGATCAAAGAAGTATAAAGCGATTAAGGTTTTAACTGAATGACGAGCCTTAAAAGTTAAGCATTATCTGAGAAGATATAGATCAACCGCCATGTTGGATTGAACCGAAGTTTATTTCAGTTAGAGCACAGCAAATTTTTCGTAAAAGATTGGCGTAATGTCTTACCCGACTTACCCAAGTCTTTCACCGACGATAATGGTTGTTCATGCAATGCAAGAGTTAATATCTGGTTGCTATAATGTTCGTCATTCCGAACGGTGAAGACTTTTGGGCTGAAATGAAAGTTGTAAGGTACCCACCGATTTATCATTTTAAAACCATTTAGTTTCTCTACGCGGGCTCAAGATTTGAAATGAAAACAAACTTTTTTTTATGTTTTTTAAAAGACAGTTATCGTGTTAAGTATCCTTCTTAAAATACAAACCCGCGTTAGCTCTAGCCTCTGGATACGATCGTTCCGAGAAAAAAAAAAGTACCTTAAAAAAGAATAAAGAGAAAGAAAGAGCTTTAAAAACATTGAGTTTGGTTATTTAGGATACAAGAAAATACTCTGATCATAGCGCCAGCATTTATATGGTGAAATCCCGCTTAGAAAGCTTTAGAAGCCCTCGGTTTTCAGGGCAAGATGAGAAAAAGTTTTTCTTAAGTGGGCCACCTGTAGCTTTAAACTATATATAGAGTACGGGGTGACTCAAAGTCAGTATATACATTAAAAAAACTTGCAATGGTTGGAATGAAGAATTACCTGTAGAATTACCTTGTAGATTCACTGACTCCGCACTCCCATGCTTCGGTGAAAGTTAAAAAGATTTCTGACTACAACTTACCCTGTATTTATTACTGTCAGCAGTGTAACTCATAAACGGAGGGGTTTAAATATGAATCAACAGACTAAATGTACATATTCAACTATTATTTTAACGCTTTGCAAAAGCTTTATGATAATGTCTCTGCCAATATGAGATATATAGACTGAAATACCTGTAACGCTATCAGTATGATTAAAATAACATTGTTCCGCACTTCACCTGCTTCATACAGTAACTTTGGCATTTCATATTGTAATCAGGTAAATGGTTTGACCAATGAATGACTGCATGACCTGATTAATCAATGACCTCGCGGTATTCGTCTTCTTCTGTCAGTGAAGCCATCGTGCCCTTGGGTCAATCAAATATCAAAACGTCCTTTGTCATAGTTATGTCTTTTACTTTATTATTTTGTCGGCAAATTGAAAGTTACAATAACGAAGGATTCAATACATCCTTGCCATTTTCTTTACGTAGTCCAACTAATTAAAACAAAAAACGCCTCATAAGTTTGACCGCGGTGGCCATGGAAGAGTACAAACGTGTGCGCATAAGTGACATGATATATTCAGCGGCACCCAACGAGAACAAGAGGGGATAAAAGGGACAGAGAGGGCATCCCCCATACACACCCTATTCCATAGGTAATTCGTCTCGAGTTATTTTTACCGCCACAAATCTCAAGGGGGAGTAGACAACAGCCAATCACATAGCGCGAATGTGTTCCGCGTGGATGACCCTCGCTCAGAGCCACGCGTCCTTCACGAATTGACGCAGAACAAAATGGCGGAAGACGCGGAGAGCGATATTGTTATTCGAAGACGACTACAGACAGATTTCTGCTAAAGCTGTGTCAGCGAAACAGAAATTAAAGAAGAATCGCCCTTCTTCTCTTGTATAGAGCTTACAGTAAAGCAGGGAAATCCTTAACACACTGAATATTCTCTCAGGATCATTATTTATAATTTACAGTTTGAAGAGAGCAATTTCTGGTTTCATATTTATTCTTTTATTAGTCTTTTATTATTCAATAGACCAGCGAAATTTCTCATTATATTAAAGCACTGAGGTTTCCACAACTTCGAGTTAAACTGATTTCACGGGTTGTCAAAGAGTCCAGCGATTCTCTTTTCCCAGGTGAGCGCCGACTCATTTCCTTCAATATTCAGGAATGCTTTCGATCTCTTTACGCTTTCATTGTCTTTCGCCCGACATGATTTGCACGGCGTTCAGTCATGCGAAACCTCCACGAAACATCCACGCAGCGCGCGAGGTAACTTTATCCCGATTCTAAAAATAACTCGAGACGAATTACCTATGGAATAGGGTGTGTATGGGGGATGCCATCTCTGTCCCCTTTATCCTCTCTTAAACGAGAACAAAGTTCAAAACCACTTAAACAATTAGCATTGTTAAACGTATTTTAGTATTTAGACAGTAGATATATGCTTATTTTTATCCCTTAAAAATTTTTCCTCTGTTCGGATTTCCTAGAAGAAAGTCTAGTGATCCGAAAATTATATTGGGGATAAAAACTTACCTTTTTCGTAAATTTCAGCCACAAAAAAGGCTCCGAAAATGCTAGGTGACCTTTTCAGGGTAAAAATCCGTTAAAAATGTGCAATTATACCATTTTTTAGATGTTCGAAAATCCTAGGAGAGGTAGGCAAGCAAGAAATTTTAGAACAAATGTTCCGAAAATTCTAGATCTCAAATCGTCTTCCGAGCAGATATTTTCCGAAAGTTGACGTTGGGTGCCCCTGGAGATTTTACTGGTCGAGCACCAATCTCGTCTCCATAGATCCGGATCCCTATTGGTCATGAGTTAGGTGTCAGGTCGCGTTTTTGGTGCTAACCAGAGAGAAAACGGGCTCTTGAGACGAGATTGACTGATTACAAAAGCCGCAAACAATCCAACAAACCAATCACAGCTGTAGTTACAACGGGAAACAATCAACTGGTGCCATGGAAGCAAAAATGAGTGACGTTTGGGTGCAAGAAATGTTTGAGGCAATTTTTAAGCGCACTAATGTAAAATCAAGCATACAGTCACTATCCTGGATGCCAGAGCTCTTCCCGCTCATCTGCGGCGATGGAGAAGCGTAAAGAGCGAAGTGCCAAAGTGCTGATAGGTGAAAGATTATTATTTTTTTTTTCACTTCGCTTCGCTTCGCGACTCGCTTTCGCGGGTTTCAAGAGAAAAAAGCCTTTAGCGCCTTGCTTAGTGAAAGACTCTTGTGTCCAAACAAACGCTTTGCAAATGCTTTTCTGGGTTAATGGTTGGAATGAAGGCTTTACACACGCTAACTACATTTGCCTCTTTAAACTATCAAGTGATTTTCCGCTGTCATCTTCTCAGCCCTTCCCCTGTCAACGCACTTTTGAACAAAAATTTGCTGTCCTATGGCGTTGCAGAAACTGTAATAAGAGACATTTGGAGTCAAGGAGGAGGACCACGAGGATAAGATTTAACTAATAGTGTTTTTCGCGTATTGCAAGAAAATAGACCTGTAGACACCATTTATTCGTTTTTTTTCAGTGAACTGTGGCAGTCCCGCCAAGAAACCGCCTAGCACAGTTCGAACTATTATCGTCGCGTAGGGTCGCCTGTACAACATTTACTTTTCCCCCTCCCGATACCTTATTAAAAATAAATAAAGACCAGAATATGAGGATATACCTCTTTTTAAGGTGGCTCGACTGGATTTTTTAGGGAGTATACCTCCCCTTTTTGAGCGTTTACCGCGTCAGCATTAACAAAGATAACGCAAAAAGGTTAACACGGCTGCACTGTATAAAGATGAAAATTTGTTATGAACCATGTTTTATTATGACGTTAGATTTACCATGGCTACATAATGACGCCATTATGTTTTTTACTTGCCTTTGTATTTCTCGGTAATAGGAGTTTTATTCAGAAATCGCTGAAGGGGAAAAAACAGTGAATAAACATGCTATCGACATAATTAGCTGATATCTGCAAAAAATGATGAGGTCTGGAATGCTGTTTCATCTCATAGTGGTTTGATTCCATCTGAAACTTTGTAACGAAAAAAGAGGGTGATTGCGCTGGCCGATTGCGAGAAAGGGAAATTTGATTAGCCTACGTTCGGCTGCTTTCTTTACCATTTCTGTAAAACATGTAATTTGGTCCACGCCTACAAATTTCACGGTTATTTAAAAACCGCTCGATATTTTTTTTAAAAAAACTTGACAATCCCGAGATTAAGCATCAATGTACGTCTCTTCTTGCTTTCAAGGGCATTGAAAAGACGGAAGGTAATTAAATGGGGCTTTAGATATCACAAATTTCCCCCAGATTTTGTGTTTATAAGTGAGCGTCCTCATTATTAACTGGCATTGTTTTCAAGTTTCATATGGTAGGGCGATGAACAGAAAGAATTGCGATACTCACGCTGACGTCACCTATTGAAGATATCAATGTCCAACCAGAAACGCATTGGTTCTTGAAACAAAAGATTGTTTTGTTTCACTGGTTACACATTTGAATAGCAAAAACAACGTTTTTAATTGTAAACATTGATGTCTCCTATATACACAAGAAAATGAAAATCCTTTAACTTTTAAACACATTTAAATAAAGAGGTGTGTGGAAAAAAATTCCCAAGTGACTTCTGATAATCTTTTTGCTTAGATTTCAAATTGCCGCTTTGAATTTGTAAAAGTAAAGTTTAATGTCACTAATTAAATTCTTATTCCACAGAAATGGTCTGAATCTCATTGTTGTAAAGTTGAACAAATTACAGGATTATATATCTCTGATGACGTCTTAAATTAGGTATCTCCGATCTTTTGGATTGTGTCATGGAATATTTTGTGTTGCGCCCAGTATAACCACTTTGACAAGTTTTAGG